GAAGGCTGCTGGCTGCAACGGGTACAACATCGCGGAGAGCTCCGGGGAAGCCGCTGGAGACAGAGAAATGGAGAGCGAGAGACAGAGAAGGAGAAAGAGAAACAAGCCGGAAGCCACAAAAGTGACATACAAAAAAAAAATTGTTTTTATTTCTCATGTGCACAAAAAAGAAAAAAGAAGAGAGTCAACAGAACTGAGGCAATGAGGAAAAGCCAAGAGTGGCTGCAGCAGCCTAAAATGGGCATGACCCTGCACCTGGCAATGGCCCCTTCCCCACCTGGGGTCTAGCTCAGCCTAGTGAGCGTCGGCAGAGCTGCTTACGTTAGGTTTGTTTTCAGTTCTGGCATTGGCGTTAGCTGGTTCCTCTTTCCTGGCTTGCAAGTTTGCTGCCGTCCTGGACCCAGCCAAGGAGCACGTGGTGGTGTCGTTTGAGGGGTCCTGTGGAAGCCCTCATTCAGTCCCTCCCAAAGAGGGCAGCTAGGATTCGGATTTCTTTTCACACGGGGCTGCTTTTTCTTAGGGAAAAGAAAGAGTTTTGTTTTGTTTGTTTGTTTTTTTCTCCAACAGTTCAGTAAACCAAAATTCCTTTGGGAAAATGTTAATATGCACATATGATTATATATTCAAGAGGAGAAACAAGTGCAGTTTTTTATGTTTTCTTTTTCTGTTCATCATCCTCACATTCATGTTGTGATTAGTCTTGCAGTCTTGTTCTGAATTTGAGTCCTCACTATCGATGGGTCCAAACGCATGCAGAGCTGAACCCAGCAGGGCCCATCGTGCCGCCCTCCCCAACAGTTACAGGTCACAGAGGTGTCTTCAGCGACGGATCCACCCACGCTCTCCTCCCACCCTCTTGCCCCACATCCCTTTGGGCTAAAAGGACGGGGGAGTTTCAGGGAACAATCCTCAAAGGTGCCGCCCAATTTAAAGTACAAGTCCCCATTCCTTCCAGCAAAGCAGATCATTTGAGAACTTAGAAGATTCCTCCCTTTCCAGGAAAAATGATCACACAACATTTCTGCTGGATCACAAGCATAGCAACAGAGTGAAAAGAAGGAAAAGAAGAGAAAGCTCAGGAGGAAGAATAAAGAAGAGTGATTGATGAGAAAAAGAGAAGGACAGGGAAATGTAAAGACATTCATTATTATTCATAATAATACTTAACACTCCAATAGAAATTTCTTTCCAGGATCTCAAAGCACTGAGGCAGTGCTGTTTAATGCAGCTCCACAGCACTCTGGTGAGCTCGGCTGTATCAGCTATTCCCATTTTCAGAAGATTACAACTGAGGCATGGAGAAGAAATCGGACTTGAAAAGGTTCTCCAGAGCCAGGAGAAGTGGGGAGTTCTGTCTGCCAGATACTTGCTCTGATATCTGGATTCTCTGGATGGAAAAGTACGTGGGGAATATACAGAAACAGTGGGACCAAATAAAAGTGGAATGGAGAGAGGGTGTGAGAAAGAAATGTTGGAGAGGGAAAAGACAGCACAATGGCAGAGATGTGAGTGACAGACTTCACTGGATTTTGCATAGTGATTTTTTTCCTCCGTTCTTTTTTGTTTTCGTTCTTTTTCTGTAAAATTCGTTTAAGAAAAATGAAAGAAAAATCCATCTGTAATAAAGCAACTGTTGGCTTTTTGGGGAAGGAGTCCTTCCAAGGTTTGGCTGTTCCCTCAGGTTCTGGATTTGTGCTGTGCTTTATTGAATACATCGTTTTGTTTTCAGTGAGCACAACGAGACTCGCACAGTACAGACAGCGTGTTCCTTATCTACAGGATGAGACGAGGCTGTTTTAATAACTACCATGATGAAGATGGAGGTGAACTTATATACAAGAGGAATTGCCTTCACATTACACACATTATCTTCCTACAAAGCAGCAATTGTTTTTGCAAATAACATAATATTAAATAATTGGTAGAATTTTTGCGTTTCCTGCATAGTCCAGTCTAATGGAATCTATATGAATATTGATGGTTTTCTTCTGCATAATATCACCACATAAATCCCCGTGTCAGCTACTAGACTTTAGCTATAATACTGCTTTACAATGCATCCACCGACTGTAAATCAAAACAACCAACACAAGAAACTCTTTGGCAAATGTAATTCAGTACATTCGCATGGGGGTCTACAGATGGTGGTGGAAGAGGATTAGACTGCCCAGTCCTTTGCATAATTCTGCTTTCCTTTTATTTTTCCTGATCCAACTGCTTGCTATGATCATGTACTTTCCAGACCACTGCAATGCCAGGTGGAAATTCCCATTAATCTGTGGAGTTACACCAGCAGTGGACCTGGTCATCCAAGGGCCAAATGAAGCCAGCCATGAGCGAGCCAACCATGTTCTGCTTTCAYATCCTCTCTTATATCTCAGGTTTAGCAAAATGCCATTCTAAAAAGAAGCATTTCTCATCTACTGGTTTCTCTGGAGTGGCTCTCTGGACTGCAGGTTGCCACGTGTGAGGGGTGTCAGTCTGCTGCTCTCTAACCTCTTTGGGGGGTTCTAGTTGCCAGTACCCCCATTGACTGTCTCTACCCTTGACCATGCGCTGTGTGGAAAGGGGTTGTGCACAAGGAGGGCAAAGGCTGCATTGAGAGACTACACAGGAGACTGCCAACAGGCTCCAGCATCCCCCTCGTGTCTGTGGAAGAAACAGAAAGGGTGCTAAAAGTAAATTTTTAGAAATTACTCGGCATTTGTTGAGTAAATGCTCAGAAGGAGATAATGGGCCAAATTCTGGTCTCAATGAGAGAGTAAAAAACTCAGCTTCTCACGATAAGATATGCATAGGTAGGAGGAGCACAGTAACACTTAAAAGATCAGGAGTGACCTCTTTGACTTTGTTCTGTACAAGAACAGATTTTAGCTCTGTATCTTCTATGTAAACACCCCCTGCCCAATACACTTATCATTTGGGCATCTCATTAAGAAGACAAAACCCTATAATCAGCTAGAGCCATGCAAAGGCTAACAGTGTTTGGCGAAAGGGGCCTTTGGGATCAACACAGCTGTTTAGTGATGATGGAGTTCATACACACGAGGTGGAGACAGAATACTGAGTCCACAACCGCATCTCCTCAGAGTCCACAACCACATCTCYTCAGAGGCTGGGAACTTTGGGGTTTATACATTATGTTGGCTATACACATTGCTCCACTGTTCATTTCTGTGCCCTCAGGGGTTTGATCCTCAGTCCTGCCTTGGTTCTTCACTCATTTTATGTGATACCTCTCTAAACCAACAAGGRTCTGCCTAGGCAGACTTGATGCTCTGGGAATAGGTCATAGCTGCCTTCCTGTTTTCTTGGGGTATGTTTTAAGAAGTGCCAGTGCAAGAAACACTTTATGAGATTGGTACAAGAGTAATAAGCATTTCTATTGACAGCCTTTTGTAGAACAGCGTTTGCCAGCCACTTGAGAACCGAAAAGACCAGATAATCCCTAGAGAATCATCAGGTGAGAATCATCTGCACTGAGGGGTAAATATTAGGGTGCACATTGTAGGGCTGAAGATGAAAAGATGATCCTGTGTGCGGGGATTAGCTGGTAGGATGCAGGCATATGCTTTTAAATGTAAGTATATAAATTATTAGGTGTGGAAGGAGACAGAGGAGGCCCATGCAGCAAGGCTGTGGTGGTTCGAAAATTAGGTGGTGGGCACAGGTATCTAAAACCGTGAAAGTGAGGGTGTAGGTGAACTGAAGCAAACCTGGGTACAGGAGGGCAAGGAACCTAAGGGCTGGGGAGCCAAGCAGTCATCCCAGCCAGCCCTGAATGTGTCCGTGTCAGCCTTAGCTGTCCAGAGGGCAGTCAGAGGGGCCCCGGAGGCCCCACRCTTTCCTTTCCACCACAGAGCGCGGCTAGAGCGCAGCTGGGCTGCTTTCCTCTGCTTGCCAACCAGCGACATGGAAAATGTTGGCTGGCTCAGAGCGCTTTTTGCTGCCTGATGTGTTTGGTAACTTCGTCAGATGTGACTTGTCCACACTGCTCCCCAGAGACAGGATTCGGGAAAGAGGGAGGAGGCGATGGGGGCAGAACTGGCATCCAATCCTCTCCAAGACCACCATCCCACTGTAGTGCAAAACAGAAAGGAAACAAAACCCGAGAGTGAAAGAGGAGCATCAGCGTCAGAGGGACGTGCCTGCCACCCTGGTGGCAGGGAGGGGTGGGACTTGGAGTTTTACTTTTTAGTTTCTTTTTTAATTATTATTTTGGGTTTTTTTTTGTTGTTTTTGTTTGCTTGGGTTTTTTAGAAAATCGGGGATTTGTTCTTTTTTTTCTTTTTTTTTCCTTTTTACAGACCTTCATGACAAAGCATAAAAACACAGTTATATTTATATATCTATTTATATATTTCTTCATCTCGTCGGCCGGTTTGTAAGCGTAGCTCCGTCCTGCTGCCTGAGCTGATTGCGTGTCCCCGGGGCGGCGGGCGCTGGCGTGGGCTCGACGCCCGCGCTGGCCCGCAGAGCCCCCGCGCGCGGCGCCGAGCGGGACGGGGCGCACAGAGAGCCCCTCTCGGCGCGCGCGTGGGYGCCCGGGCCTTCCTGCCTCGCCGGGCGGGTCCCGTCTCTGTGCTGCCTTCTCCGCTCCAGCCCGGCTGGCCCGCGGTCCCGGGGTCAGGGTGGTCAGCAAGGGTCTTACACTGTGAAGAGTCCGCCGCCGCGGAGCAGCTCTTTGGGGAASAGCGTGTTGCGGGCGGCTGTGTCCCCTGCGTCCCCGTGCCCTTAGCGCTCCCAGCGGAAAGCGGGCCCCTAAGGCAAAGGCTGCCGCCTGCACCGCTCCCCAGCCATGGAAGCCGTGGAAGTTGCGGCGACGCTGGAGGGCCGGGCGGTGCTGAGGTGCTGCAAAGGGCTCCGTGGCGGTGCCGGCGGCAGCGCGGGGCAGGCGGGTGGCGCGGGGCGGCGCGCGGGGCGGCGGTGTGCGGGAAGGAGCCGGCGGCGGCAGGAGCGGAGCGGTTCTCTTCACCCGCGGCGGGGACGGAGGGAGCGCGTCAGACAGGTACAATATGGAGGCCTAAGCTGTCGCCCTGCAGTTTCATGTGGTTTCCATGGTAACTAGTGGCGGTCATAGGCAGCGGCAGCAGCGGGAGGTGCGGAGCCCCGGGATGTGGCACTATAATAATAAGGGGAACCTGAAAGTTAACACAGGAGAAGAATGGACTGGTTGAAAGGACAAACAGTAAAAAAAATAAATTAAAAAAAATAAAACAATCAAACGAAGAAAAGAAACAAAGGACAACTAAAAACAAAGGAAAAGGAAAGGAAGGAAGAAAACGAAAAGAGAAGAACTGTCTTGAGGACTCAGCTCTTGTTGGGAGACGTGAAAGGCTGCCCACTGAAGCCAACCAAGGACTGACCATATTCAAATGAAAAGAGATTATGGGGTCCCCTGGGTCTGAAGCGCCTCTAGGGCAAGGACATCACTTTGCTCCATGCTCCATGAGGAAATGGTCCTCTGTGGTCCATGACCATGAGGAAGAGGGAAGCTTCGCAGCAGAAGAATCTCCCGCCTGCTCTGTGTTCATGGGGAAGCCGCCAGGGGCCGGATGCTCTGAGTGTGTCATGAGTCAGTGTTAACATAACAGGAGGGAGAGATGAAACAAAATTCCACTGTTTTGTTGCTTGGGATCTTGGTCACATTTGGAATGAAAGCTCTCCGTGTGGTTATTGAATGTGTGTTAAATAGTGATCGATTATAAAGCTCATATTTACAGAGGTTTAACAACAGTGGAATAAAATATGCATCTATTATCCAGTTGTTAAACCTAAGTAAATACATAGTTCATAATCACAGCTGATTTATTTTACATATAATAAATCTCCTCCTGTTCCCTTGCAAAGAAATTTTGTCTTAGAAGACATAGTCTTATGGGAATATTTTTTTCCATTGTGAAAAAAAAAAAAAAGGCTTTTTCTAGGCATATTAGAATCACTGGAGCTGAATATTACTGCAAGAAAACTCCACCAGCCATTTGAAAACATAGTTATGGAGCCTTTCTCCCATAATGGACGTTATTCCTACTGGTCAATGAGATCTATGAGAAAAACTTCTATGGGATTTCCAGATTCCCAGCTAGTGACCCTCAGTTTAGATTGGGAGAGTAGTGAAACCCCTCTGGATTTTTGAAACAGATCTTGAATGGATGCTGATCAAAGACTGTGAGRGTAGCAGAACCTCACCTGAACCTCTGATCTAGTCTGGAATAGGCTGTGGATGCAGCCAGGGAGAGGACAGAGCTGCCTTCAGAACAGATACAAAAGGCATGTCAGACATACACCTATCTAGACCCTGGACTGGAGAGTGCAGGGAAAGGTCTTTCAAGTGGCCAAATGCTTGAAGGCCCTTTTCAAAAAGAAACAAACAAAGAAAAGAAAACAAAGAGACAAACAGAAGGAGCGCGAAGCTGGGGGTGTGCTGGGCAAAGAGGTACTCACTTAGTAACGCCGGGTTGCTGAACCGCCAGGCCTCGTTGTAGGTTGTGTACTGAGGGTGGCTGTAYGGGTTCCCCGAGAACTCGCTCCCTGCAGGGAAGCAAGGAACGTGTGAGAGCCGGGCGAGAGGGAGAGCTGCGCCCGCTGCGCTGCCAAGGGCATCTTCGCGAGGACCATCACGTAAGCTGTTACACGCGGCTTCCCTGCCCGGCTGGGATCTTGCCCTTCAGGACAGCGCAGTGTTACTTGCCTGAACAATTAAAAATTGTACGAGTGACCTCTTCAGAATGAAGGAATTAGTTAAAAAATAATGAAATTCAGTAACGCAAACTAAATTGTATTCTGAGTGACTATAAGCTTCTGGTCTGCTCTGGATGGGGAGGTGGAGTTCTTGTTACAACTAAAGTGTTTGGAAAGTGCCTAGGGTCCCTGCTCGATACCCAGGAATAGGAAAGGAAGGCAGGCAGGATACACTGAATGCCTGTGATACAATTACCAAGAAATGTCAATTAATTGCACTGTAATCTCTGCAAATCTCCCCTCACAGGAGAGTTAAAGCCACAGATTTTACGATGGGGGAAGTGAAGTCTATTGAAGTCAATGGATTTGCACTGATTTAAACTTGAGGAGGTTCTGTCCAGCCAGGTCTTTTAAAGACATTCAGAATAATAACCTCAGCAGTCACTGTGGAAGGGGTGTATGTATCAGTAGCAATCACATCCACTAGTCTTTTAGTCAGAGTACCTTTTGTTTTCAGCATAAAAATATTTATTGTTTATCAGACTAAATAGGCCTGATAATGACTCAACGTGTTTTCATATCTAAAATCTAGATTCTTGCACTGAAAATCCTGTCAGGATTTTCCCTAGCTGAGAAAGAGAAGGTGAAACTTGCTAAGGTGATCAGGATGTTGTGGCAGATGATAGAAGGGCAAAAAGCAAAGCCCTGGATTAGATCTACTGAAGTGACTCATCTGAGGGATATAAAGATTTGGCACTGACGTAAGGACAGACCAATGCTGGAGCAAATTCCTGYGTTGAATTGCCTCCTAAAAAGATCCCTTCTCTGCATCAAGAGAAGAAGTGCTGATGTTTCCCGATTTCTTTCTAACCCTCTCCTGAGCTGTCACCCTAAACTGTTTATAGTGATCCTGAGCTGCGGGTTAAGTAGAGGAGAAAGAGCCCTGGCTATGGAGAGGCAGCGAGGAGGAGGGCAGCCACTGGAAACAGTGTTTATTGACGAGGAGGAAAGCATGCGTGCAGCGGGATAATGAGCTTTGGAGCTCAACTGTGACCAAGAGGAACTGAGCTATCGCCTTCCCCGATCACTAATGAAACAAGTGTAATTTCCTCATCAACATTGGATTCTGTTTAACGACTCCCTGCCGTTGCTGTGGCCAGCGCTGAGCAGGCCCCGCGCTGCTCCGTGCGCTTCCTTCGCGGGCAGCTCGCCTCGCCGAGCACTTTGCAGGAACCTGGGGGCCTTCCTGGGAAGGAGCAGGAAGCTGGTGCCGGATCAGGGGTGCTCTGCTGCCTGTGTAGGGAGCATTGCACAAGCGCACAAATGAAGTGCAGCCCAGTACCTGATTCATCCTCCTCTGACCGACTAACTCCTGCCTTTTCAAGAGTGCATTCCGGGACTTTCTGGCTTCCGTCCATGTCTGCAGCCTGTGAGCTGCAGCTACAGGCAGGTGCAAATGCAGGACAGTGCAGGACCTTCGCACATGATCCGCACAAATCCCTGCGATAGCTGCATGCGTGACCGGCCATGTCGCGCGGATGCCGTGCGTGGAGACAAGCCCTTCTCCAGACCATACACCTGCAAGCCCCGTGAAGGGCTGTCACAAGCAGRACAGAGAAGCCTTGGCTAGCACTGGGCAGACAGCCCTCTCAGGAACAGCATTCCCTGGAAAATGCTGCCTCATCAAGATGGAAACGTTTTGCATGAGCCTGTCGGTTTCAGTGGAGTTTTTGAAGGAAAAGTTTTGAAAGGGTTGCAAATTGATACCAAGTATTATGTTTCAACTTGCTGATTTTGTTTCATTTTGCCTTTCTCATCTCATTTAATTTCCTTTCAACTCTTTTATTATTTTAATATTTGTTGACACCCAGAACATGTTGACATTATTGAAATGCTTCATCCTGATGCTTGCAAATTGAACTATTGCAAGATTCTGACTGCTCATCCCAGTGCAAGATGAAAACAAATGTCAAAAAACAAAAAAAAAACAAAAAAACCACAGAGTTTCGCATGGGTTGGAAATTCTGTTTTCTGGCCAGTTTTATTTTTAGGTCAGAACCTTTATTTAGAGAAGCTAGAGCCTCTTGTTCATATTCGTTCACATGTGGACAGTGGGGTCTGTTTGCATGTCTGTATGTTCGTTAAAGGTGCTCCCTGATTGAGCATCTTGCTTTCTTTTTGTTTTCATGCTTCTTTAATTAACTTAAAGCACTGGCCTCTGATCCTTCTCGGCACTGGGCATGTAACAAACCATTAGCAAAATCGTATTTTGTTTTCTCTTTTCAACCTGCATCCTTAACAGGGAGGGCAAGAAAGTACTGAGGAGATTATGCAGCCTGTAATCTACGCAGTCTGTGCTCTGGGAACCTCTACTAACAGCTTTTCTTGGTATCTGTTTTTAAATATTGACACATTTAGTTTTTTAATACCAGAACTATGAGGCATGAAGCGAGTCTAGCAGGGGATAGGATTGTAAGAGATGAAGGGAGGTAGTTTTTACACAATATGTGCTTAACCTGAAGAACTCTTTGCCAAATTGCTAGAGATGTTAAAAGCRTGTTTGAATTCAAGAAAGACTTTCAGGTTTGTGACAGGGGATCTGTGAAGGATGATTAATATTAAAAAGAAAGATAGAGACTCCACCTKAGGAAGTTTCTGAGCTGCAACTTCCTGGCGGCTGGGAGGCTTTCTGAGGAAGTGCCACCACATGGCTTTCCTGTCCTACAGCCTTCAGCAGCACTTGCTGTTTGCCCCTGGCAGCGCATAGCGGTCAGAGGGGCCCAATGTGCCCCTGGTGGCTTCCCTAGCATCACGGGGCTGGGCCAGGGGGCTGCCGGGCTGGGTCTGGCCAGTGGAAGATCACTGGAAGAGCCAGACCTTGATGTTTGGTTGAAGGGTGCAGCAAGTACTGCAAGGTGCCCAAGCAGGCCACAGGAAAAGCTTCCTCTAATTGAATGTTACTGAAGCACCCCAATTCAGCAAGCTGGTCGGTTATTCCAAGGGACCAAAGTGGCAATGATCCACTGTATTTTCCAGATCTGGAGGTTGATCATACCGTCTTCACAGCCCTGCCCAGATTTCCCTGTGTATGTTAGGACTAACAGCATTGAGTAGCTTGCTAGCTCTGGAATGAAGAAGATACCAGTACTTGGCGATAAGAAAGCAGGGATTTGTCATTTGAAGATATCAGGATTTTGACCCGCGAATGAATCGTACCCGTGGGGATTTCACTGACGAGCTGCATTCTCTGTCGTGTAGCTGATCCAAGAATGGGACAGGGGTTAGGTTAGGGCTTTGGCCCGTGAGCCTGCCCAAGGCGCAGCAGGATGGTGCAGGAGCTTCTGTGCTCAGCGTGGTGCCATTTCAGCTGCTGCCTGGGGCCGTCCCTCCTGCAGCACAGGCTGCAGAACAGGACCGAGGATCTGCTGCTGAGCAGCTCGCAGCCCGGGGGTGACAGAAACAGAAATCAGCGCCAGAGCAGTTCTGAGCTCCCAGCGCTGAGACATGGACACCTCGCCTATTCCTCTATCTCCTGGGGCTTGCTTCCAGCAGAGGGACAGGGAATACAGCCTGGGCAGTGACCCCTTCACTCTGCTCTCCCTGGAGAATGGGCAGCACAGGTGAATTTGCCAGGAGAAAGTATTTCTGCGAAAGCAACCGTTTGCTTTCCAAGGGCAGGATTAGGTAGTTTCTTAGATTATATTATCTTGTTAAGAAGGTAGGCGCAAACAGGATGTGGTTAAGCAGTTGGTTGCTGAAAGGGAAGAGCTAATTGCTTCTGAAATGCTGCTAATCAGTGCTGAGTACTTAGCTAGTTCAGGCTGTGGACAGTAGGTCTCCCAAAACTGCAGGTATTAAATTATGATTGAAGTTTTTTCCRTTAGATGTCCTGGTTTTACATAGAAGGTAAGTTGTTACTCCAARCTAGTGACTAGGTGAACATCCTGAGCCATGAGCAGTACATAATAATCTGCATGGGCCACTGGAAGATAATTACATTAGTTAATGAATACTAGGGTTAATTAATTACCAATTMATTACCATAGGTTATAGATAGCTAGTTGCCCATAGCAGCAGTGAATCAGTTACTGATGGGAAGGGGATATGTTATACAATGAATTGTTAGGTACCTTGGCTATAGGCAGTTGACAGTTTAGTTTAGTTTAAGAGGACAGGCCTTAATATTAGGAAAGCCAAAGCTATAGCTGTGAAAGCCCTTGCAGTGCCACTGCGCTGCTCAAACACTTGCCCACCRTTAAGGAAGTTTGGAATTTGACTTACCAGGTACCATTCCTGCAAGAGTTGAGGTTGGGTAGCTGCCTTGTCCAGTTGGGGGCACGTGGGGTGGGTAGCCAGGCAAGGTGGTGCTTGCCATATCGCGACCTGGGAAGGGAAAGAATGGGAAGACATGATCAGTAGRGATAAGAACATTGAATACTGCTTTGATATCATCTAATGTCCTACCATCAAGTGACTAGCAGCTCGATAGGCAAGTGCTGTGTGACATTCTCATATATCTGCTGACCTTCCCGTGAAAATTTTGGCAGGAAGACTGTGACACTTTTGATCTCAGGCTTTAAGGATGGATGTTAAAACTTGTCTTCTTGAGGCTCAGAAGAATTGTTTTTATTTTGCTGTAGATATTTTGAGCCTGTTAGAAATTCTGGATATATTTCTACTAAATCAATATGGCCCCAGGCTGCACGGAGAATGAGAGCATGTTCATTGCCAGAGTAGCTGAGGTCCTACATGCAGTGGCTGCAGTTCCAAAACCGTGGTGACGTCTCAGCTCGCGATCGATGTGGAAGGCTCTGCAAAATGACTCAGGAGTTTTCTGTGCCTCTCTGTTCCCACCTCTGCCATTTCACCTGCTCATTACTTTAGCCAAGTCACTTCACTGCTCTGGGCTGCTTTTTTATGCTGCAAACTCTTTGGGGCAAGGACACACTCATTACTTTTGCACAGTGCCTAACACAAGAGAGATCTAATACCGATTGGAATCCTTCCAGTTGCTGGTGTAATACCTATAATAGTAGAATTGAGGAGCTTAATTTGATTTCCACTTCATTTTTATCACAGGTGCAAGTTTTTGCTAATAATTCCCAAAGCCTTTGTATCTTTTCTCCACCAAAAAAAAGTAGAGAGCAGAACGGACTGGGAGGATGATTGCAGTTTATTTTTCATCTCTTAGGAAGTGCAGCTGGAGGCTTCTTGGTTGATGCCAGAGGCATTTCCTCATTTGGATTGGTTAGTCTGAAAATGGGCCAGCCAGAAGGGCATTTTGCTGTTAGTGCTTATTGCATTTAAATGAACTAAAATCATCTCAGAARCTGCTGGGAGTTTCAAGCCAAAAMCAAAAAACAACAACAACAACAAAAAAAGGCTAAATAAATTAAGATAATCTTTCCCCCACAGCTGCTGAGAGATTTACAGCTCAACCTCCAGTGCTGCCTACTGAGATCTCAGCCTGTTCCAATCATCCAAAGCCTTTCGCATTCCCTAGGTGAGTTGCAGCTCACCAAGAAGTTTGTGCCGCTTCTTGTTCCTTTATTAAGTTTTCTCTGTTCTGCCTGTTCTGACGTCAAGGGGACTGCAGTCTGATTCTCCTTTAGAAGTGTCAGTTTAAGTAAGGCCCATTAACACTGCTGGAGCTGCTGGAACTGTGCAGAGGTGTGAGAATGGAGGACGAGCAGGAATTGTTTGAGGTCTATGGTAATTGATAAAGTAGGCTTGGGACAGCAGGGAAGCTTGGCAGAGGAAATAAGAATAAATGGAAGTTATTCAGCAGAGCRATGACCGAATCAACATGGAGAATTAATCCTAACTCCCCAAAGAGGAAGTTTCTCTAGAATGGGGTGGGCTAAGCCAGTGTCACTGGTTGCATAGATTTTGACTAAAGATTGCCAAAGGGACTTGTTCAATAAGCAGAAAAGCAAGTCCCTTTTTGTTCCTGAAGAGGTTCCTGACCACTCTTCTGTTCTTTTATCACTGTCAAGAGTATGACTAACACCTACTAGCTGTGGATCTTTTTTTCTCACATTCTTTTGAGGGAAGAAAATCTTGTTTAAAAATTTTGTCCCCTTGGTTTCCTAAGCTGACTAGTCTGAGATGTAACTGTAGGTGATGAGCGAGAATACAGTGTTGCTGAAAAGTTAGGAAGAACATTATATAGTAGCAGGCAAAATTAATCCCTTTTGACACTTCCATTCAATGGGAACACATACACACATGCTCTCCTACCTGATTTAGGCACCTAAGCCCCTATGTTTTTATTCAGACGTGAGTGCACAGAGGCTGATGCTCAAAACTCAGTATGGACAGTTCACTGGGAAGTGGTCATCTGTCAAATCCAGACCCGGGAGAATGCAAATAACAAACCAGGAGAGTATCAACACAGATGAGAGTCCCACAGAGAGTCTTACAATGCTGCTACGTACAACCAGCCCCCTTCCCTTATGTCCATTCACTGTAAACAGGTAAAAAGGATTATTAAATTCTGGTACTCCAGGGTTATRACAAAACTAGTACTTGTCCTGCTGAGCCGCATTTCTCCAATTCCAACTACTCTACCATTCTCCAAGAGCCTTCTGAGTGATAAACCTAGTGCCTTTCTCACTTTATCATAGTGCCTTATCTTTGTGTGAAAGACATGCTTTTTCCTGTGTCTAATTCTTCAAAACATATTAAGGCAACTGCRTCTCCTGAACCAGAGTGTCTCCTGGGTTAGAGGATGGGTAGATGTGTCTATATCCGTGCWGGACTGCACTGTTGGAGAGACTCTCTCAGGGAATTCTTATCTTGCCCAGTGCCCAGAGCTTAGGGGTTCTTACTGGCTGCACTAAGGTTCTGAATCCAGAGCACAAGAGTCTTCTCTGCTATTTGCTTGCTGCAAGCTTGGAGGTGCAAGTCTCATCCAACAAGACAAARGGAGAATGTTAGGTCAAAAGAGACAAATCATGTAGGAACATGGAGGAGGCAGAGGTAMGGTTTGCTTCGTGTGCGCCAGGACCTGTAACCTGCACCCTGAACAACTTGGCCATTGGAAAGGCCCCAGTGATGTTCTGTGACCCATTGCTGTGGGTAACAGCAGCCTCAATGTCTCCGAGTTGGGGTCTCTGAACGCTAAGATGTTTCTCCCTGTTTCATCCACAAGAGCTTCCCCAGTACCTGCCCTGAACTTCTTCCTCTCTTCCCCTACCCTCTCTGCCACTGCCCTCCCCTGCCTTCTGCTTCCTTCACTTGCACATCTGAAGGCCTTAGTCGTGTTCCTCTGCCCATGGAGCTGTGGTCCCTGCCCTACCTTCCTGGCTGTGGCCGGYGTCGTGCCCTGCTCCTGGGCTCTCTGTCTGGGGCAGGGGCACCCGCTCACCCTCCCGGGCGGGCAGAGCCAGGCGCTGCTCCGGTGCAGCTGGGCAATGCTCCCGGCTGCTCCTGCATTTACCAGCTTCTTGGTGGCTTTAGCAGCCCAYGCCGAGCTGCCCCGCTGGCAGTGCTGGAGCTGGCGGTGCTGGAGCTGGCRGTGCTGGAGCTGCCGGGCTYACTCGAGCTGCAGCCRTCTACCTCAGACTGGCACACCGTGCAGACAGTACCCAGGGCACTGTGGTGCTTTGGGTAACACAGGATTTTGCCRTATAAGTGGTTCCATACTGAGCCCCAAACCCATCCAACTGGGACACCAGCCCCTTCTATGTAGTGACAGCTTTTTCCCCATTTTGCTGTACAAAAATGAAGGAGAGGCACGAACTGCAGGGGCTGGGAACCCTGGTGCRCGGGCGGACGTGCGAGAGGGGCGCTGCGGCTGGCGCGTGCCCGCAAAGAGCCTGCAGCGCTTGGCGGCCTCCCCGCGAGGCCAGGGCGCCCCCCTTCCTGCAGCACCCCCACTCGCTGCGAGCGCGGCCAAGGCCGTTACCTGCTATGAGCGGCTGGCTGCTGGACTGCCCAAAGTGGGCGCCATGGTGGAGGAAGGCGCCGTAGCAAGGCGTGGACGCATCGTCTGAAAGGGCCATGTGGAAGGGCTGGAGGTCAGCCTGCCCAGAGCCGGCCGGCGTGGTGGGGGTGAAAGGGGTGAGAGAGGCTCCATGAGGCTCTTGCTTTATACTGAGGGGAGAGGAGAGGTTTTCTGTGGTAGGGCAAGGGATGGACACGGACAGACAAAGGGAACGGGGGCGGGAAGAGGAGGGGGGGGAGGGAGGAGAGGAAGAACAAAATGGGTAAATGAAAATGGAGTGGTTAAAATCTACAGGGAAATTAATTTAAAAATGGAAATAAACATAAAAATAAAAAGGTTAGGGGTGGATCGGAGGAGCCGGTGCTGAGACAAGAGCAGTGAGCACACCCGGGGCCAGGCCTGAACTGCAGTGGTGCCTCTGCAGGGCAGCGAGGTGAGAGGGTGGAGTGCGGTGGCAGGGGGAGGGACGGGATGCGGGAAGGGAGACGTGAGCGGGAAGCATGCGAGACGGGAAGGACAGGACGAAGCGTAGGGCTGAGGAAGGGAGAAGGATGCTCTCAAGCTTCTGTGCCCCCTTCCCTGCTCCTTTCTCTTGCTGGCCTGGCGGCTCAGGAGACGCAGCACTGACACCGTTTGGCCCAGCAAATTCTCCACTTAGTTTCCTCAAACCCGAGGTAACCCTGCCTAGGAGAGCAGCACGGTCACGAGCATCTGTTGGGCAGGATGCTCGGTGTAATGGCCAAAGCCTGCAAAGCCAAGCTCCATAAACACTTTGACAAAAGAGGTGCAGGTTAAAATGAGAAATGGGACTGTGCCGTTCATAGGAGGAGAGAGAGATCAATCAATTGATCTTGTTTGCACTGGCACAGTTGGGAGCTTTGATCATAAAAGCCCTCAATACTGACTTTGGTGGTTCCTAAGGTACAGGGTTGCCAGGCAGGTATCTTGATGGAGAGACAGGAGGGGAGAGGGTCGGGGGAAYGTTACAGGAGGTCCTATTTTCATTGTTATTTTCACTGGGCCTCCATTTCTGTTGGGAAAATTTGCACAGAGAAAACAGAGTTCTGAGACCGCCCCTAGCTTGGCTCCCCCTTAAGAGATGTGAGAGTTGGAGAACTCAGTGACCTAAAACACGGCTACACCAGCACACCCACTGTGGTTGGGTCAGCCGTAATGGAGTCCCATATTTGAACACCTGAAAGAGAAGTATGGATGATGTGATCAGATCCTATCCAAGCCGTCTAGCAAGCCATCCACCCTCAGGTAAACACAGCCAAGCCAGCAAATGAAACCCATTTCTCTGTGATGATGGCAAGTGTTACCAATGGCATATGAGATAAGTTAGCTCTAGTGGTTTTGATTTATAAAGAGAAATATAAATGTGACATATAATTAGGTTGTAAATCTGACTTCATTAACGTAGAACTAGCTTAAT